CAGTGATCAACACATTGAGCACAAAAGTGAACCAAAACGAGCCAATCCTAACGGCACCGCCAATACTGCTCAGAGTAATCAATGCCATGAGTATAGCGTATGTCATCGTTAGGCAGTAGTGCTCTTTGACGGCACCGATAAGGCCCAGCATTTCCACCAACATTGCTATCGTACCGATCGTTGCGATCACCGCTATCGTCACTTTCTGTGCCATCATGATCAAACAATATGGTTTAATTAGTTTTGCAATTAATTCATTAATATTAAAATTGTAAGAGATTATTGCAATAATCAAATAATACTGAATCTACATTAGTCTAGTAACAAATACAATATTATATGACCTTTTAAGGTCTTTTCTACTGACAAGGTGTGAGTTTTAAATGTAACATTACTTGTGATCATATTAATTGCCATAAATTACCAGGTATTAAAATTATTCTCACTAAACCATTATGTTAAAATCAATATTCTATACCTTCATGTGCTTCCATTCTTCATCTGATTGTGTCGGGTCTTTGTCCGCATTGCTGAGGACAACAGCGGCGGCGATGATAATGATTAATGTACTGATAATACCCAGCAGGCAAAATGTAAACAGGGTCCACTTTTTGCATTGAAACGAACACATATCCGATTCTCGCTCCATATTGTAATGTTGATAACGATAATGTAAAACACAATATAAAGCACACGTATAACACAACTAAATTGTTTTAATGAACCGTTTGCTTTTGTTTAAACATGGTTTAAATACGGGACTGGGAGGGGAAGTGTGATTACAGTTCGCAAAGACATCATTGGGTGTGGGAATAGATGGCATTTGTGTCATAACAGGTGTGCAATACTTATAGATATATTGCTAGTCTATTGATATATTATTATCGTGAGATGATAGCAATGTATTAGTTGTATTTCATTAAATACTGTGGCTACGTGAATAGAAATAAAGTTTGTTTGATCAGGCAAATTTTGATAAAAATAACTAAAAAGGTTGCAAAAAGTTCGTTTTTAAAATAAATTTTAGGGAAATTTAATATTTCTCTCTTAGGGATTCCCATTATATTCTATGGACAATTATTTTGAGGCAATGAAAAATATTAACAAGTGTAAACTAATGTAAAAAACCATTTCAAAGAACGACATTTGTTTAATTATCAGTACAGTTTAATTAGGATTAATAAACTCAAACAATAAGCATTACGTTATTTAAATACACAATATAAATACTGTTTAGCAAACAATGTTTACAATCTAAATTTATCTTTTTCTAAATCAATTATGGTAATAATAATTGTTTATCAAACTGTGTATTTAATTAGATTTTAATTCAGTTACATCTATTACATTAATATTTGACAATCATTGCTATATCATTGTATGTTTTTATTGCAATCTAAATATGAATCACTAAATTCAGCGATTATTGTAATTCGTTTGATAACTCTAATCGATGAAAAAAGTATATTATTTTTAGCATTAAATATAGTGTTTCTTCAATCTACCTATTTATTAATGTTAGCATACTTTATAATTTAACGGTATTTTAATATACTGTAAATTCTCTCTATTTAGTTAATAATATTTTAGAGTTATATAGAATTTTTATAAAACATACTTATATTTTATAAAATGAAATTGCACAATCCCTTCAATATAATAGTGAGATATATTTACTAAAATTATAATGGTAAAACATTTTTAGTTTATAAATTATATTATAAATTATAATTAACATTGTTATAAATATACGGAAAATTATCATTATATAAATATTAAGGCGGAAAATGAACAATTTTAAATAGAGTTTAAATTAATCATTAAAGTTAATTTATAATAATTAATTAATATAAAAAAATACATTTTGAATTAAATTACATTTTTATTTTTGATAGATGAGTGATAAAAATGTTGGTAGATAAATTACTTATGCAAATACAGTATGTTTAACATTTTCTTTTAAGCTCAGGATTAGTAAGACATGTATAGGCGGGTGGGTTTGCAGGACAGGCATCACCTCTACCTTCATTTGTCATATTAATTGAACACTCGGGTTGACTATCTTGGTTAGGTGATTGCGGGAACATGGTAGGTGCATATTGCTTGCAGTTTACAACATTTAACGCCATGGGCATAGAACTGGGAAATTGTGAAGGTGGGTTACTATTAATATTATTCTCATTTTGATCATAATCTTTTTCGGGCACAATTAATCGATGCTTAATTATACGCAAATCACACGCCAGACCTAGCATAAAAAGTTGCAATATTGATGAATACCAGCACTTGGTTCGCACACCCATCACACAACTGCCCACAGCCACCAACAGTGCCAGCATTAGGTACGTTAATGTCATCCAATATCTCTGTCTTATGCCAGACATCAATATTAGAATATCGACCAGAATTGTGATAAGTGTGGACACAGTTATCATTAGTTTTGTTGTATTCTAGTATTTGAGTTTTGAAGGGTAAGTAAATAATTGTAATTAATTTTTATTTATTTGTTTATGATATAATTGTGACATGTATATTTATTAATATGTTTAATTAAAAATTTTTAAAAATTGTAAAACATGTTACTAAAAATAAATAACAGAATACTGTATTAAAAATACCTTGGCTTTTGTAGTAATCTTTAAAGCGTCCATGGTGTAATTATTAGTATCACCAGCATCTATGTCATCGACCACTTGTTGAGCCACATATGATATAATAATTATGGATGTGATGCCAATAATACAGAGAAATACTTTCGTAAACCCTTTCCACAGCCATGTCTTCTCTATTAGTTTTTCAATCATTTTCTTAATTATAGTGTTTTAATTGTTTTCAATTATTTCATGAATATTCACAACACTATACCAGTATGTTTTATACCTCAAAATTATTATTGTAGTCAATATATATAAAAAAGTTCTAAATGTATATAGATTAAAGAAAACAATGGGCTAAAAGTGTAATTATGTGTCATTTGAAAATTGTGATTAAAATAAACAATTATATATTTATAATAAATCTATTCGTTTTAAATTCAATTGTCATTTATATCATTAGTATTGTTAAGCGAATTAACTCAATTGACAATTATTCCCATTTTATCGTGTATTTTGCCCATTGTTTAGCTGAGATATAAACATCTCAATTACATTTTCCTAGAATCATTTAACAGGTTGAATAATGAGCAAACAATTTGAATTTTATGAACATATTGTATGTTTATTATAGTAATTTAGCATGAAACATATGAAATAAATAAGGTTATTTAAGTGGGAATTACTACAGTATGATAATAGGTCTAATTTTGTCAAATTTTGTCAAATTTCATGCACTCATTAAAGGGTACACAATTTAGGTATAAAATCTTGGGTTATAATAATAATAACTATTTCTTAATCAGTGTTGTGATTTACGATATTTTTATAGATTACATTTCAAACTAAATTTTATGCTTTGTAAAACGCATCGTGTCAAGTATGTATAATTATGTTAGAAGTTAAATATTCTTTATCCTAATTAAACTATTAAGCATACAGTCTTGTAGATTAGGTATTACTAAAAATTACATTAATGTATTATTATATTGGAGATCAAAGAATACATATTAGTAAATTTAATTTAGTGTCACAAGTTTAGTATTTTTTCTAAAAGCTAGATTAGTTAGAGAAGAATATTCCGGTGGGTTTGTGGGACTTTGATCGCCAACATTATTACCACTTATACTAGTCAAACACTCTTGCTCTTGGTGATTATCCAAGTTATGTGATTGTGGGCACATTGTTGGTGTGTACTCTTTACAATTTACTACATTTAACAGCACGGGTGCTGAACCGGATTGCCCAGGGGTGTTCTCATTTTGGTCTTTACCATTTTCAGTGTCGGGTATGATTAACTTATGCTTAATTATACGCAAATCACACGCCAGACCTAACATAAACAGTTGCAATATTGTTGAGTACCAGCACTGAGTCCGGTATCCCTTTAGAGTAGTTCCTAAAGCGACCAATATTGCCAGCATTACGTACGTTAATGTCATGCAATATTGTGGTGTTATGGCAGCTATTAGTACCAGAATGTCAATCAGAATAGTGAAACATGTGGACACGATTATCATTGTATTTGTTGAGTTCTAAGATTCAAGTTTATTTGAATGTAATTTGATAATTTATATTTTTAGTTTTAGAATCAGGTATTTTTATAAATGTTGTGAATACCTTAGCTTTTGCGGTGATCTCTAAAGCGTCCATGGTGTAATTATTAGTATCACCAGCATCTATGTCATCGACCACTTGTTGAGCCACATATGATATAATGATTGTAGACGTGATGCCAATAATACAGAGAAATACTTTTGTAAATCCCTTCCACAGCCATGTTTTCTCTATTAGTTTTTTAAACATTTCTTATAACGTTATTATTTCTATTTTTAATACACAAACCTGTGTTTAAAAAACAGAATTGTATTAAATATATATAAAATATCTGCACATGCATTTAAGTTTATAATGTTGTGAGATTATTTTTCAAGTGTGCTTCAAATATAATATAACTACAATCATAATAAATCTGTAATTTATTAATTCAATTGTATGTATATCTGTGTTATTGTTTAAGTGAACTTAGTCACTTAACCATTCATCATTACATTTCCTATTGTTTCTCACATTATTAAAGCAAAATATTTTAATTTAATAATTATTTTCTTGGAATTTATTTAGCAGAAATTTTGAACACATTAAATTAATATACAAAGTACATTTATCTTTAGTACATATGTCCAAACTTACCGAGCATTTGACCATAATTAATAATTATGAGAGTTTGTTTATTATGATAACTCGCTTTATTAATTGTTTTAAAACAGTTTAATCTATGTTAAAATTTAACAGTTAAATAACATAACATTAATTTTTAGAATAACTTAACAAAATTGTTTTTTCTCAAATAAAGCAGTTTTAATATTAATAATAATTATTAACAATTATTGTTGCATTTTATTTGAAAGCATATTATTTTATAAAAACTATATTTTTGTTTTGCAAAATCTATAAAGTTACATCTAATTCAATGTTAATTTACTAGTAACTAAATAATTTTATTAAATTGGAGTTTAGATTTTGTAAAATTTTATTTAATAAACATTGAAATAAATTAACAAAACATTTATTTAAATGGAGACGACGTAACGATGTATTCATAATAATGTTCATATGGACTGAAATGGCTATTATTATGGCTATTAATAATATTATGGCTATTATTATGAAACAAAGGAAATATAACGTTAAAAACGCTGAAACCAAAGACAATAAAACAAATCCAAACAACAAAACCAAACAAACACATAGAGACCAGAGATGGGCGCCGGTTTGGCATAGGATTACGCGACCAAAATGGTCTGGCATTTGTGCCCGTAGTCGTCC